ATCCTAACATCTGGGATTTCTGGGAGTTGTAAACCAAAACATCTGGGGACTCACAGGTTGAGAACCATTGCGTTATAGGTACTCCCGAGATGCAGGATCCCATTCCTTTATTCTGGACCGAAGGGTGGAGAGAGACAACCTTATGTCCTCTTGCTATGTCATATGCACATTTGCTCTTCTCCACTGCCTTCTCTTCCCACTCACAATTTAGGTAGTAGGAAGTGTTGCTACTCTCTATCTATGAAAGAAGACAAGTCAATGGCAGTCACAAGAATCTAATCTTCACTTGTTACAACACAAAGTGGGCCCAACCCTCCTGGACTGTTGCCACAAGGAGAGGGGAAGATATATTGTAACAAGCAAGCAGAAGTTGGCTGCTTTTCATCAAATAATGCTCCGTTCCCATTGTACCATACAAAAAGAGTCCTCTTTTTAGCCTCTGCTTCTGGCCTGATCTATGCTGTAGAATTAAGGCAGTTTTACACCACTTTAATTGCCATGGCTCAAGGTTATGGGATCACGTCAATTGTAGCTTTACAATTGACAATTTGCAATTTACAATTGCAGCCACCTCTCCACAAAAGTCAACACTGACACTGAAATCCAACACCGCCTGAGCTCTGCGAGTGCAGCACTTTTCCAAATGAAGCAGAGAGTGTTTGAGGATCGGGACATCCGTAGGGATACCAAGGTGCTTGTTTATAAAACTATTGTCCTCCCAACCCTGCTATATGCCTGTGAAATGTGAACTGCCTATAGATGTCACATGCAACTCCTGGAACGATTCCATCAGTGGTGCCTCCGAAAAATCCTGCAAATCTCTTGGGAAGACAAGCGGACAAATGTCAGCATGCTGGAAGAAGCAAAGACCACCAGCATTGAAGCGATGGTCCTCCGCCATCAACTCCGATACCCGACCACCGTCTCCCAAAGCAGTTGCTCTACTCCGAATTCAAGAATGGAAAATGGAATGTTGGAGGACAGGAAAAGAGATTTAAAGACGGGCTCAAAGCCAACCTTAAAAACTGTGGCACAGACACTGAGAACTGGGAAGCCCTGGCCTGTGAGTGCTCCAGCTGGAGGTCAGCTGTGACCAGCAATGCTGCAGAATTTGAAGAGGCACGAATGGAGAGTGAAAGAGAGAAACGTGCCAAGAGGAAGGCGCATCAAGCCAACCCCGACCGGGACCTGGAAACCGATGCCCTCACTGTGGGAGAAGATGCAGATCAAGAATAGGACTTCACAGTCACCTACGGACCCATCCCCAGGATACTACACTTGGAGGACTATCATCCTCGGACTATGAGGGATCGCCTAAGTAAGTCAGTCCTCTGCCAAAGAGTCTCACCAAACCCCAAATTCCTGGATTCCATAGTAGTTAAAATGGTGTCAAACTGCATTAATTCTACAGTGTAGATGCACCCTCATGCAATTGTCTAAGTCACCCATACTGTTGATCAAAGCAATCAAGAGGACACTCCTCAGAGGAGTGGTCACAACCTCAACTTGCATGTCCTTCTCTGTTTCTTTTAGTCAGCAACCATGAAACCCCAGCAATGCCCCCCTTCCCCTCTCACACACACACTGGAAAGCAGCACAGCTGAATGAGTAGAAGGATGCTCTTTGTCCTTGCATGAACCTATTTAGGGCCCTTTGCTCTCACTCTGATGAATGTTATCCAGAGAGAAACATCCTTCCTTCCTTCCTTCCTTCCTTCCTTCCTTCCTTCCTTCCTTCCTTCCTTCAGTCCCTCACCATCCCTTTCCCCCTTTTTGGGCAATTCTCCACATTGTTCCAGAGAGGGGAAAAGCACACATTTTGCCACCTGGCCCACATACCAGCCCAAAGCAGCTGAATTTTGGGGTGTGTTGTGTAGAGGAGACAGATTTATTTAGGTTGGACAGATGAGGAAGATAGGGGACCCACTGAAAATCGTATTCCCAGTTGCCCTGCCCCCTCCCCCATAAATCCACAACTGGGTTGGATGGATTTTAACTGTGAATTTTTTTAGTGCAGTTTGTGTTTAGTTCTGTTTTAATGTTTGTATATTTGTATATTTTACATTGTACACTAATGGTTTTATGTTAAGCCACTTTGAGTCCCATTATTATTATTATTATTATTATTATTATTATTATTATTATTATTTTGCCCCAATAATATCTCCTCAATATTTATTTATACCCTGCTTTATCTCCCCCGATGGGGACTCACAGTGCCTTGGTAATAACTGTCTTCATATTAAGACCAAATTATTGTTTTATATGCCCTTACTCAAATGTTATAAACACATCTGGCAAAGCAAAATGGAATTGGAATATGGAAACGGTTTGTTATAATGACTTAAACATTATTATTATTTTAACTATTAATAGTTTTAGTTATTGAATCCTGTTTTGATTGCATATTGCCTAATTATGCATGTTAGTAATGTTTGTTTACCGTCTGGTTCTATTGCTATTTGATATTGCTGTTTAATATGATCTCAGTTGCAGAACTTGTTGACAGGAAGGTCGGCAGTTCTAATCCACGGATGGGGTGAGCTCCCATTGTTAGCCCCAGTTTCTGCCAACCTAGCACTTTGAAAACATGCAAATGTGAGTAGATCAATAGGTAACCCTCTTCCTCCTTTTTTCCTTCTCCTTCTCTCCTCCTGGTCTTCTCTTCCTCCTTTTCTCTGGATGGCCATCTGTCAGGGGTGATTTGAATGCAATATTCCTGCTTCTTGGCAGGGGGTTGGACTGGATGGCCCATGAGGTCTCTTCCAACTCTTTGATTCTATGATTCTATGATTCTTTTCCCTTCCTCCTCTTCCTCCTTTTCTCCTTCCCCTCTTCTCTTCCTCCTCTTCTCTTCCTCCTTTTCTCCTTCTTTTCCTCTCCACCTCCCTTTTGTGGAAAGGTAGTGGCAATCCATGCATTTATGCTGGCCACACGACCTAGGAAGTGTATATGGACAACGCTGGCTCTTCAGCATCGAAACTGAGATGAGCACCAACTCACTGAGTTGGACACGACTAGACTTAATGTCAAGGGGAAACCTTTACCTTTACCTATGTTCTCACCTGTTTATGGTTGTTTATTATTTCCCTGCACTTTAGGACATCGAATATTTGCCGCTTTGTATTGAAAACCACCCTGAGTCTCCACAGAGAGAGAGAATGGGATAGAAATAAAGTTGATTATTATTATTTGAAACACAACAAGATGATTCCACAGCAGACAAGATCACTCTGCTGGCTGTTGTATTGGATTACACGTCGGACACTTCCCAAGTGTCTAGGACTGTGTGATATATCGGTGAATAATATGTGCAGATCCCAGTAAAGTGGCCTTTTGCAGCTGGCAGATGGGGGCCCTGCTCTCGGCCCCACCTCTATCACAAGTAAGGTTGGTGGGGACGAGGAGCAGGGCCTTCTCAGTGGTGGCCCCTCACCTGTGGAATTTGCTCCCTGGGGAAATTAGGTCATCATCATCCCTCCTCTCATTTAGAAGGAAATTAAAAACATGGATCTGGGACCAGGCCTTTGGGTAAGCTGGCAGATAGACAAAGAACTAGTGACGACAACTGATGGACTTGACTGTGTGGAACTGAATTTATGAACTCTGAGTTGGCAAACGCTGTGCATTGGTTTCGTTTTATAGATTTTGATGATGTGATGTTTTTGATGTGTGATGTATAATGGACTGTTTTAATTGTTTTAATTACTGTTTAAAGGTAAAGGTAGTCCCCTGACATTAAGTCCAGTCATGTCTGACTCTGGGGTGTGGTGCTCATCTCCATTTCTAAGCTGAAGAGCCGGCGTTGTCCGTAGACACCTCCAAGGTCATGTGGCCAGCATGAGTGCATGGAGCACCGTTACCTTCCTTCCCGCCGGTACCTATTGATCTACTCACATTTGCATGTTTTCGAACTGCTAGGTTGGCAGAAGCTAGGGCTGACAGCGGAAGCTCACGCTGCTCCCCGGAATCGAACCTGCGACCTTTCGATCAACAAGCTCAGCAGCTCAGTGCTTTAACCCACTGCGCCACCGGGGGCTCAATTACTGTTTACATATGTTTATTTTTACCTTGTTGTGTGCCGGCATCGAATTGTGCCTTTTGTAAGCCGCCCTGAGTCCCCCCTCGGGGGTTGAGAAGGGCGGGGTAGAAGTGCAAGAAATAAATAAATAAATAAATAATCTTGCCAGCACTGATTGTGATTAAGTGCAGGCCAAGGTCTTTAGGCATTATTATTATTAGTCACTTTTGAAACACCAGGGAAGAGTGTTTCAACCCCATTATCAGACCGATTCCTTGATTCAAAACCACACACCCCTTTTTCCAAGTCCCAGATATGTCACCCTACAAGAAAAGCAAAACGGCGCTCTGTCTCATGCGCGAGAATGCACAATTCGTAGATAAAAAGTGACAGCTCTACTTTCGGGAGCGCAGGAATGAGTTCCCCTTTGAAACAAAAGCAGGAGCCAGATCTCCTTCCATTCCCCCAGGAGAGAGAGAGAAAGAGAGAAAAAGAAACTCAGAGCCTGAGCAAGGCGCCTAGGGAAAAGGGCAAGGGCTGGAGAAGATGAGGAAGAGCAGCAGCAGTAGAGCAGCCTCCACCTTGGGCGAAGCATCCCCTCCCTCCCTCCGGTTCCCATAGCAATGAGAGAGACACCGGTTGCTATGGCAACCCCATCCTCCCGCCTAAGACAGCATCAGATCAGAGGGACCAACAACTCGGCTGCATCTGGCGAGGAGGGCGTGTGCGCGGGGATGTGGAGGCACAAAAGGGGAGGGGGCGCTCAGAGAGAGAGAGAAAGAGGGGGGGCATCCTCCAGCACACAAACAAACACATATAAAAACATACACACACCCCTCGAAGCAACGCTCGAGCCGCCAAAGACTTTCATTGTTTCCCCAGCGGTGGAGGAAGTTGAGACACTTGTTCCGCGCCTTGCTTTCCCCCTTCTTTGTTGCTACCCCCGTCCCCCGCTTTTGTTGCTCTTTGCCCAAGCCTACCTTCGATGCAGCAGACCCTCCAGAGTCCCGAGTGGGTGAGGTCCCCCTTGGGCTTCTTGGGCTGGGCCTGGGCGCTGCTCTCGTCCGGGGCGGTGACGTTGGTCCCGTTGCAGATGTTGGCGCTGGAGTAGAGCCAGTAGTCCGTCCCGATGGCGATGGTCATGAGGCTGAAGGCGGCGAAGGCGCCCGCCGTGGTCAGCAGCATCTGGACCCCACGGTCGCACCACACCATGGTGCTTCATGCTCCACACGGCCGGCTCCGGGAGGAAGCAGGAGGAGGAAGAAGGGAGCGAGAGGGGGAAGCCCGAGGACAGCGCTTCCCTTCCATCAGGCAGGAGAAAGGGAAAGGAAGGAAGGAAGGAAGGAGGAAGGAAAGAGGCGGGAAAGAAAGGGGCTGCGAGGAAGGGAGGGGCGGGAGAGAGAGAGAGAGAGAGGCAAAGGGGCCAAGCAGAGAAGCCAGTCGCCTTCCTCCTTCTCCTCTTCTCCTCCGCCTCTTCTCCTCCTCTCCTTCCCCTCCTCCTCTTCTTCCTCTCCCCTCTTCTCTTCCACTTCCCTCTCTTCTTCCCCCTCCTCCTTTTCTTTCTTTCCTCCTCCTCTCTCCTTTTTCTTTTCTCCTTCCCCTCCCCTCCTCCTTCTTCTCTTCTTTTCTCTTCCTCCTCTTCTCACCTCTCTTCCTCCTTTCCTTTCTCCTCCTTCCCTCCTCTTCTCCTTCTCTTCTTTCCTCCTCTTCTCTTCCCCTCCTCCTCTTTCTCTCCTCCTTCCTCCTCTTCTTTCTTCTCCTCTCCTTCCCTTCTTCTCCTCCCTCTTTTTTTTCTCTTCCCTCTTTTCCTCTTCTTTTCCTTCCTCTTCCTCCTCCTCTTTCCTTCCTCCTCTCTTCTCTCCTCCCTCTTCTTTCTTCCTTTCTTCCCCTCTCTCCTTCCTTCTTCTTCCTCTTTTCTCTCCTCTTCTCTTCCCCTCCTCTCCTCTTTCTCTTCTTCCCCTCTCTCTCCTTCTCTTCTTCCCCTCCTCTTCCTCCTCCTTTTCTCCTCCTCTTCTCCTTCCCCTCCCCTCCCTCCTCTCCTCCTCTTTTTCTTCCCTCTCTTCTCTTCTCTCTCTTTCTCTTCTTCCCTCTTCCTCTCTTCCTTCTCTCTCTTTTCCCCCTCTTCCTTCCCTCTTCCTCCTTCTTCTTTTCCCTCCTCCTCTCCTTCCTCTCCTCTTCTCCTTCCCCTTCCTCCTCCTCCTCCCCACGCCCCTCTATCCAAAGGGGCGCCTCTCTCCCGCCGCCTCGTCTCAGGCGGAGGGCTGAGGGGAGGAAGGCGAGGCAGGAAGGCGAGGCGGTGGGCGGGGCGCCTCTCGGAGAGGGTCTTCGAGGAGCAGCAGCAGCAGCCGCCGACCCCCGCCCCTCACGGCCCCGCCCCTCGCCCGAGACGAGGCGGATGAATCCAAAAAAAGGGGGGAAAGGGCGTTTGGGGTTCCTCTCCCACACCCCGTAGCCGCCTTCCTCCTCCTCCTCCTCCTCCTCCTCCTCCCCGGAGGCGCACCTCGCCTCATCCGCGCGAAGGAAGCGCGCGCTTCGAGACACTCCCCCCTCTGTGTCTTCCCATTGATGGGGAGAAAAGCATGGGGAGAGGAGGGAAGCGCCCCTCTTCGAGCGCCAGCAGCTCCCCTTTCGCCTTCTCCCTCCCCATCCCACTCACACCTGGGAACTTAAGAGCTGGCAATACGTTTAAGAAGACTGGCACCGGTTTAAAACCGTTGCTTTCCATGAGATCCTATGCTTCTGCATCAGAGCCCATAGGATTCAAGGGGCAGTGATCCAGGCTAAAACCATTGCTTTCCATGGAATCTGAGAGTTCTGCATCAAAGCCCATAGGAAACAAGAGGCAGTGATCCAGGTTAAAACCATTGCTGATGGTTCGGCAATGAAACAGGACAGGAAACTGATGGTTCCCATCTCACCTGTTTTTCATTTGTAAACATGGGTGCAAACTGTGTGTCCTCCCTCCTTTTCTTTAGGAAAAAACTGAAATCATGGTTTTGGAACCAGGCTTTTGGCTAGCAGGCACAGGGGCACTTTGGACATTGGATTGGACCATGTGATGATTGTTATGATATGAATCGCAAGGCTCTCTGGACCATCCTCCAAAAATCGGGTGCCCTGACAAATTTGTGAACATCCTACGGCTCCTCCATGATGACATGATGGCAACAGTCCTGGACAGCGATGGCTCCCAAAGTGACCCATTTAAGTGGGTTGTTGTAGGTTTTTCAGGCTATATGGCCATGGTCTAGAGGCATTCTCTCCTGCCGTTTCGCTTGCATCAGAGGTAGTGGGGATGCTTGCCATAGATGCAGGCAAAACGTCAGGAGAGAATGCTTCTAGACCATGGCCATATAGCCCGAAAAACCTACAATAACCCAGTGATTCTGGCCATGAAAGCCTTCGACAATACATTGACCCATTTAAGGTGGAATCAGGTGTCAAACAGGGATGTGTTATTGCCCCAACTTTATTCTCCATCTTCATCGCTATGATACTTCATCTTGTTGACGGGAAGCTTCCCACCGGAGTGGAAATTATCTATCAGATAGATAGCAAGCTATTTAACCTCAGCAGATTGAAAGCCAAAACCAAGGTTACAACAACATATCTTATAGAACTCCAGTATGCTGATGACAACGTTGTCTGTGCGCATTCAGAAGAAGAACTACAAGCCACTCTAAACACCTTCGCAGAAGCATACGAGAAGCTCGGCTTGTCATTAAACATTGGGAAAAATAAAGTGCTGTTACAGCAGTCACCAGCCAACCCCTCACCAATGCCAGAAATACAGCTTAACGGTGTAACATTAGAAAATGTTGACCATTTCTGCTACCTTGGCAGCCACCTCTCCCCAAAAGTCGACATCGACACCAAAATACAACACCGCCTGAGCTCTGCGAGTGCAGAATTTTTCCGAATGAAGCAGAGAGTGTTTGAGGACCGGGACATCCGTAGGGATACCAAGATGCTTGTTTATAAAGCTATTGTCCTTCCAACCCTGCTATACAGCTGTGAGACGTGGATAGTCTACAGATGTCACATGCAGCTCCTGGAATGATTCCATCAGTGCTACCTCCGGAAAATTCTGCAAATCTCTTGGGAAGACAGGCGGACAAATGTCAACATGCTGGAAGAAGCAAAGACCACCAGCACTGAAGCGATGGTCCTCCGCCATCAGCTCCGCTGGACCGGCCATGTTGTCAGGATGCCTGACCACCGTCTCCCAAAGCAGTTGCTCTACTCCAAACTCAAGAACGGAAAACATAATGTTGGTGGACAGGAAAGGAGATTTAAAGATGGGCTCAAAGCCAACCTTAAAAACTCTGGCATAGACACTGAGAACTGGGAAGCCCTGGCCCTTGAGCGCTCCAGCTGGAGGTCAGCTGTGACCAGCAGTGCTGTAGAATTTGAAGAGGCACGAATGGAGGGAGAAAGAGAGAAACATGCCAAGAGGAAGGTGCATCAAGCCAACCCCGACCAGGACTGCCTTCCACCTGGAAACTGATGCCCTCACTCTGGGAGAAGATGTAGATCAAGAATAGGGGTCCACGGTCACTTATGGACCCACTACCAGAACACCGACCTTGGAGGACCATCATCCTCAGACTATGAGGGATTGCCTAAGTACTATGACTGTTTAATTAATGTTATTGTTTTAATGGTGTTTATATTATTGTATATTGTGATATTATGGCATCGAATTGCTGCCAGTGTTAACTGAGTCCCCCTTCAAGGGTTGAGAAGGGTGGGGTAGAAATGTTGTAAATAAATAAAAATAATAAATAAGAGGTAGGGGCTCTGAACACAATGCCCGTGTTCACAGGTCCCTCTTTTCCAGACATTTCTGTCACTTTTCAACCCTGGAACAAGTGATGAGATCCATGCCTCTCCATGCTAGGAAAGAGGCTAAAGTGTCTTAAGAGGAGGAAACTTCTCAATGTGATGAGGTCAGATTGCCAGAGTTGATAAAATTACCTTCTGCCAGCTGCAGAAGGCCACCTTACTGGGATCTGCACACATTATTTAGCAATACATCTCACAGTCCTAGGCACTTGAGAAGTGTCCGTCAGCCAGCAGAGTGATCTTGTCTGCTGTGGACCCATCTTGTTGTGTTTTAAATAATAATAATAAACTTTATTTTAGCCCACTCTCTCTCCCTGGAGGGACTCAGGGTGGCTTTCAAAGGTGAAAAATGGCAAACATTCAATGCCATGTACAATAAAACATTAAAACAGAGTAAAAATAAACAAACACCTTGGCTAAAATATATAAATCAGGTAAGCATAATAAATAACACATTGAACAGTTAAAATTTCTATGAAATAATAAGTTAGGGTAATTGTTGTCAACATCATTACATGAGGTAGGACTGATGGTTAACTGCTTTTCCTCTCCACAGTCTAATGTACAAAAGTAGATTTTTAGTTGTTTCTTGAAGGAAAGGTGTTAAAGTTTACATTTGCCTTCTTTGCTAAGGAAGTCTTAAGGAGCCATGGATTGTACAGGAGGTAACCTGATCCCATCCTTGCAGGTTTTAAAGGTCAAAACCAATACTTTGTACCTTGCCCAGAAACTAATTGGTAGTGACTTTAATGGTGTTTGATATGCTCATGCCTGGATGTTTCCAAAACCAATCTCTCCACTGTGTTTTGAACTAACTGGACTTTCCAAACTTGGTACAGAGAAAACTCAGTGTACCTCAGTCCTAAAGGGTATCAATCTCAAAGTGCATTGATCAATTCCTTGGTCCTCTAAAAGGTAAAGGTTTACCCTTGACATTAAGTCTAGTTGTGCCCGACTCTGGAGTGTGGTGCTCCTCTCTGGCATTGTCCGTAGACACCTCCAAGGTCATGTGGCTGGCATGACTGCATGGATCATTGCTACCTTCCCCCCAGATCTACTATTGATCTATTCGTGTATGTTTTTGAACTGCTAGGTTGGCAGAAGCTGGGGCTAATAGCAGGAGCTCACCCCGCTCCCTGGATTCAAGCCGCTGACCTTTTGATCAGCAAATTCAGCAGCTCAGTGGTTTAACCCGATGTGCCCTCTACATAGTGATTTAGCAGTAGCCCTTTACTGGATGTGAATGTTATGGGACATGCCAGTTCTTATTTCTATAGACACGAGTTCCCAACAGGATCCCAGTCACTACAGTTAGAGTCCCATATCCATTGGGAAGCGGGGAGGTACATTCCCAGCCAGACCACAGTTATATGATATAACCCAAGCCATCAAATTGTCTCATTTCTGATCCTAGCAAATCATGGTGTTGCATTGTAGAACCTATAGCAGTGGTTCTCAACCTGGGGTCCCCAGATGTTTCTGGCCTACAACTCCCAGAAATCCCAGCCAGTTTACCAGCTGTTAGGATTTCTGGGAGTTGAAGGCCAAAAACATCTGGGGACCCCAAGTTGAGAAACACTGACCTATAGATTCCCCCAGAAACACCCTATCTAGAAATTGGCTCGATCCTCCAGTACATACATCAAACACCTGGTGGACCT